TCGATTTCGCGATTTGTGGAGGTCAGCCGGGAACGTGGGCAGTATGAGCAGGATGTCTCCTCGGAGGCCGACTCGTTACCGGAGACTCCGATTGGGAAGGAAGACATCGGCAAGGAGGCGCTAGACGTGTGAGAGCTACTGCGGTATAAGCAGACTGTAAAATAAAACTGCCCCATCCACTACTGATCCACCAAATAATTTCATTATGGATAAATAGTTCTGAATGACCGTGATGGGCATCGAGGACCCGAGCAGACGCATGCTTGATCCACCTGGAATTCAGTGGCTGGTGCTCGAGATTACTAGTCGTCCACAACTGGAAAGCAAATGAAAATGTACCCCTGACTTCTCCCTTCTGTTTTCTTTTAACAAAACTTTCTGCACGATCCCAATAGTCACACGCAAGTCCTTTGGCCGTGAGCTCCCACTCGCGCCACAAATGAGCGCCCTCGCCTCGTGGATATGTCCCTGCGACAAACCGGGGGTCGTGCAAGACGCTTTCGCCAAACCTCTCGACTTCTTCCATCTGCCCATGCAGACTCTCTATCACCCACACAAAAGCGAAGATCCTCAAGCATGTGTAGTCTTGTAGAATCTGCGTTGCCACTGGAGAGGTTCTGGGGTCATCCATGAAAGATGTGTCACGCAGCACGTCTGCGTCTGCGTCTGCGTCTGCGTCTGCGTCCGCGCACCACCCGTCGTCCGCCGCACCGCTGCATCGCCGCATCTTCGGCCGCGCGTCCTCGTCCACCTCATCCTCGGCGCTCCACCTCGGCTCCGGCGCGTCCCACGCCCACGCCGCCAAGTCAACGCGGTCACGTGCGTCGCGTTTAATTTCGGACTTGCGCGTTTTTATCCATTTTACGATAGTTTTGGCTGGAGTGAGTTTGAGATGCACCTAAAAACGCGTCAATTAAGCTTAGCAAACGCGTGCTCTGGGTAGCCAACCCCATTCTGCACTTTCTTCAACTCCAGGCCAGGGTTTCCCCTCCCGAAGGCAGCGCAACAGAGGCAACAAAAAAAAAAGGAAGGATGACTAAGCACTCACCGGAGAAGGCGCAGCAGGACCGGTAACAGTGTTGGTGCCAGTGAGCAATAACAGCCAGTGTCGCTAGCTTGCCATGAGACTGGCTCTAACAACATGGGCTCTTTGCTCGCCCGCCCTTCAGGTCAGAGCAAGAGCTGACTGCTCATTAGACAACAGCTGGAGCCCAGAGCTATAGCACTCACCGACCACCCAGCATAGTGACGACGGGGGGAAAGAGAAAGAGAGAGGTTATGTGTGACCACTTGGCGTCACCCTCTCACGGAATACTTGATCGGACCTGCAAATGTTATGTTATGGGATGATCTGTTGTGTCATCGTCTTGCGTTCAACTCCCAATGTTGACAGTCAGTTTCAAGTAAGAATAATTTCAGTTCATAAAGTAGGTCACTAAAATAAAATAAAACTTCTCTTGATGATATGTGGATATGAAACTTAACATTTTCTGAATTACAGCCTAATTTGGTTTGAATTACTTCCCAGAATGGCAATTTATATAACTGGAAACAAATCTAGTCCCAATAAAAAAAAGTGGGTAAAAAATCAAATAAAGACTTTTCTTGATATGAATCCGGTAGGCTTTAATATTCAGTAAAAAGTGGCAAAGTCAAGGGTAATCATCAAATAAAAAACTTTTCTTAGTTGAACTGAACCACTTCCTGAATTGGTAATTTTAGGGCCTGATATTCCTTCCTAGAATAGCAATTTAGCAGATTTTAGAAGAAATTCTGGTAACAAATCTGTACATTAGTCTACAGGCAGTGAGCTAAAGCTGAATTTAGAAATTAGGTGCTTGAAGCTGTCAAATCAGTTGCCCCGAGCTGTGCTCACGTGACTGGGAAATTACCAAATAAGACAACTACCTCATCACATGATCAGTGCTTGGGTTTCTTAGTACTGATAACCTTGATTTTTGCTATAAAAGTCCAGCTTTGGACAGCTTTACCAACTAGTAGTACCAATAAAAAGTGGGTAAAAATCAAATAAAAACTTTTTCTAATAAGAATCTAGCACACATTGAATGTTTGGTATTGATAGGTCAATGTTGTACTTGGTCCTAGTTAAAAGTGCATAAAAATGTTGATTTAGAGCTTAATGGTAATTCCTTGATGTTACTAGTATTTCTTGACAAAAAAAAAAGTGGGTAAAAATCAAATCAAAGTATCTGGGTATCAGGCTGGACCACATAGGCCATACAGATCATGTCACATAGTCACACTGTATCAAGTAAGCTACCACAGAAGAAGCCCAAGAAAAATTAAATCAAAATTTTCATCAATATTAAAATCAAAAAGGTCTGAATATAACTTGGGTAGGAATAGTTCTCATAAAAAAGTGGGTGAAAATCAAATAAAAGCTTTAGGCTGACAGAACAAGCCCAACAAAAAGTGGGCAAAAGTAGAATCAATCCTGCTGGACCATGTCATAAGCCAGGTCCCAGGGGATCATCCGGAAGACTGCAGTGATATGCCTGATAGAGTAGCAAGGGTGGAAGTAGAGTCCGACTGGAGATGGAGACATCTTGGGTATCAGAAGTTGAGACAGACGAATCTATCTTCAAAACCAGAACAAGTCCAATAAAAAGTGGGTAAATATGTATATTGATTCTTATCAGTAATATTCTATTCTATTTGTCAGTCATGTGTCACACCTGTGCTGATTTGAGTCACAGGGTGCTTGCCTGTATATAGAAATCTTTTGGTTGGATTTTGAATCTTAACTAGTGCGGAGGGCTGACAAATCCACATTTACATGCTAGTCAAAACAGCCTTTCTTTGAAGCCAACAATAGTCCCGATAAGGAGTGGCTAACTCTTCAATAGAAAACTAGTGATGGCTAAGTCCGGTTCGGTCCGGTTCCTATTTTTGAACACCGGACCATCTGTTCAGTTCAAAACCTGGATTCGGTGAACCTGAACGCCAAACCACAGTTTAAACCGGCGCCAAACTGGCCTTTCAGTTTGGTCCAGTTAAGTTTATGGTCGGACCAAATATTTGAACTGAACGTGGCCATCACTATAGAAAACCAGACTAAACCAGACTTGACAATACTGTACTATTTTGATCAATTCGGCCAAATCACCACTTTTCGATGAAACCAAAAGCTGTGCAAAAAATCAAGAAATAATTATTTCTGATGTTTCTGGTGTGACTGTGACATGCCGAATTGATCAAACTTGTATGGTAGTCCTGATAAAAAGAGAGTGAAAACTTTTGCTACACATTGTCTTGAAAAGGCAATGTTATCAGAATAGTTGGAATGTAACAGACTTCACAACAAAAGCTAGAAATGTCAAAAGGATTCAAAATCAAAAGGAAGATGTGCCGTGACCTTCTGGGGAAATGTCAATTCCCGATTGACTGCACACAACATCATGACAGTCGGGCAGCTGTCAAAATGTTTCATAAAGCTTGGTCGGACGTCCGGAAGCCGGTCACGTGACCTTATCGCGCGCTACCGCCTGTCGCCAAAAAGGGAAATTCTCAAATCTACCACCGTTCTATGCCTAGAATTGCTCCGATTTTGCTCAAATTTTGGGAAGATGTGCTTACGTAAGCACTCAGTTGGACCAAGCTTTGATCGGTGGCAACGGCTCTCCAGAAACATATCATCTTGCGAAGGTGTGTTATTTTGCTGATCCCTGGCATTCTAAGCCAGGGGGTCGGCCGATTTCCCTCGGAACTTGAGGCCTTCACGTGATGATATGCTTCACCAAGTTCGCCGCCTCCGATTCCCCAAAGTATCTTTCACTCCGCCGAAATTTCATACAACACCCCAAAGTTCTGCATTTCTCAACGGCGAACTTGCAGCGATGCCAGCATGAAACATGCTGGGCATCACGAATCCATCACCCCTGATGTCACTCGCCTAAAACATTGGGCGCTCCGCTGTCCGGTCTGTCGTATTTTGCTTTTCACTCCCCAACTCAGTTTTCAGATTTTTGGTCTCTTGCGTCGCATGATCAGGTCCCGAAACTCATCTATACCGACCATAGTATTATACATCATGTATATATACACACTAGCTGCTTAATATATGTCCGCAAAGCTATCTTAATTGCACAAAACTGGATTCCACGCTTTACCGGCAGTGGCAAGATCGCCCAGGTACACCTGTCAGTGATGCGCCTTTCCGGCAAGTGATCACCTTGTGTGTCATAGCTCGCCTATGCCGAGCGCCGACGGGCACTGGGTATAAAACCCAGCCCCCAATCCGACACTTCCATCATCATTCCCTTCTCTCCCTTTCCTCTCTCTCCCACTTGATGTCGCCCTTCCCCCCACCGAGCTCGCTGTTATTACCAACCATGCTCGCCAGGCTTGTCGTTGTCGGCAGGTGAGTTGGTCACTGCTTTGTCCTCGAATCCTTCTGACCCGTTACAGTCTTCTATTTGATGCTTGTGTATCGCCGAGGCATTGCTGATAGTTATAAAAGGTGAGTGGTCTTCAATTTCTTGTTATCTTGCTTACCGGTCGCGTTGCCTAGTTCGGCTCGTTGGTGCCAAGTGGTCGGTGCCGTGTCTTCGACGACAACACTGTTGTCCTGGAAGTGGAACCCGACATCTTAGACCTTGTGAGTTTGTCACCATTTCCTTCCGGCAGGCAATGACTTACCGCATTGCAGTCGCGGCACGTTCAGCCCGACTTCTACTCACGAAGGTCAGCTGCAAGGACGGCAAGAACGACACCAAACAACTCACCTGCGCTGTCTTGAACGACCATCGCGCCTTTTCCCCACCGGGTGCGTGTCATTTGACCAGAGTTGATGAAACTGACATCGTCACAGAGTTCTTGACTTTGCGGGAGTCTTTGTTGCGGAGATTGGATACGGGTCATTATTGCGTCGCGCACGACTATCGAGCTCGGTGTTGGCGATATCGATGCCGCGCTCGATCTAGTTGACGCCGAGTTGCTGTTGGAGAGGAGGGCGTGTTGGAACCCAAGGGCCGAACTTGATGTTGCCAAGTGAGTTGCCGCGACTTTTCCCGCAGACATTGCTTACCTGTTCCAGCTCTATGGCCGGTCTTGATATCGGTTTCTGACATGCTTTTGGTGTTGCGCCATCTGATTAGACAAGTTGCCATCGCGTATCGAATCCTCAGTACTCGATCAATAAGGAATTTGCAAGCCAGTCGTATCAGAACTGCACTTGTTCGTTCGTTTCTTTCCCCTTGTATACTCAAATTAACGACGATTAAGATCATCTTTGTGGAGTCTGCCGTCATCTACTCTGCTTCTGTTCTCGCCTTGGTGGTTGTCTATGAGCTGAGCAACAACGCCCACTATATCCTGCTCGATCTGGTGCGTTGTCGTTCCAGTCAAGTGCCCACTTGGAAATATAACGCCAACTCTAGACGACCTCAATCATTGTAATCAACTGCCTTTCCCTGGTGGATCACGCACTGACTCTTTCTCTCGATAGGGCGTCACATTCACCCTTGTAACTCTTCGCCTGGCACTGGCCTCGCCATCCAGCGGCCACTCAGATGCCGGGAATGTGAACTCCGATCCCGCCCAGAGCCGGGCTAACAGCAGACGGCACAACTCCAGCTACACGTACCCGCTGACTACAGTGTCGATTTCGCGATTTGTGGAGGTCAGCCGGGAACGTGGGCAATATGAGCAGGATGTCTCCTCGGAGGCCGACTCGTTACCGGAGACTCCGATTGGGAAGGAAGACATCGGGTCGGTGCTGCCCAAGGAGGCGCTAGACGTGTGAGAGCTACTGTGGTATACATAAGCAGACTGTAAAATAAAACTGCCCCATCCACTACTGATCCAACAAATAAGATAAAATTTCATTATGGATAAATAGTTCTGAATGACCGTGATGGGCATTGAGGACCCGAGCAGACGCATGCTTGATCCACCTGGAATTCAGTGGCTGGGACTCAAGGTTACTCAGAGTCGCCCACAATTGGAAAGCAAATGAAAACGTACCCCTGACTTCTCCCTTCTGTTTCCTTTCAACAAAACTTTCTGCACGATCCCAATAGTCGCACGCAAGTCCTTTGGCCGTAAGCTCCCACTCGCGCCACAAATTAGCGCCCTCGCCTCGTGGATATGTCCCTGCGACAAACCGGGGGTCGTGCAAGACGCTTTCGCCAAACCTCTCGACTTCTTCCATCTGCCCATGCAGACTTTCTATCACCCACACAAAAGCGAAGATCCTCAAGCATGTGTAGTCTTGTAGAATCTTCGTGGCACGTTGCCACTGGAGAGGTTCTGTCGCCGACGGGGTCATCCATGAAAGATGTGTCAATGACGGGAACGCCCGTAGCATGCGGTCCCAATTCCGGTCGTGGATAGGGTCGATATGATTGACCGTCTCAACCAGCTCCAAGTGCGTCACAGACGCGAATATTCTGCGATAGGCGGAAGAGTCTATGGCGTCAATGCTGCCGAAGAGTGATCTCACTGTGCACGTGAAGCGCCGGAGGCCCTTCATGTTGGCAATGTGCCGGAGGTTTTCGCGGATAGAAAAGCCATGGAGAAGGATAAGATCAACAACAAGAGGGCATTGTCCCAGCAGGCGGCTGATGTTGTCGAAAGACAACTTCGTGCGCGGGTCGAAACAGAGGTATCGGACGCCGAGTCGGAGAATTTCAGGTTTGCGCCACATTGGGTGAAAGAGCTGAGGCATCTCTGAGACGCAGGCGGTACGGAATGGCAGAGGCTTGAGCCTAACGAAAGCTAATTAGGATTTGCGGTTAGATCAAGTTCAGAACTTACCACATATAAGCCGACCGACACACACACACCAACATGGGAATGCAATCTGGGTGCAGAATAGCCGTCGTTTCAAGGATTTCCCGTAGTATGTCTTCGGGCAGAATAGGGCCCATAGCGGCAATGAAAGAGTGTATTAGCGCTGTGACTCATGCATTGTGACATACGATCGAACCCTGATTCAAGCATGAGAAGCCTACCCGCTAACCCACGTTAAAAACCATCCGAACATCAGCCCAACATAGTGCAGAGGATTCAGCATTTGCGCCAAAGTGTTCCACCATATCAATGACCTCCACCTATCACTTGCCCCATCGGCTTCATAGTGCTCCCAGACCGGTCGTCTCAACCACCATGCGTAGAGTGCCATCGGGCCGGGAAAGATGCTCGAGACCTTGCCCTCTCCATTTGCTGTGCGATACCACGACACGCACCCTACGAAGACAGAGCGCGCAAGCCGAGCATGAATAAGCTCGTTATACGCGTCTGTAGCACGGGACGTCACAGTGAAGGTCTTGACTAGCCCCGCGAGAATCGGTTTGACCAATTTCAGGATGTAGTTGATCTCACCAGTGTCAGCAGAGGACTCAACGGTTAGCGAGAGTTAGTTACCTGGATTTCTTCGGTGAGGATAACGGATGTATGACCCGTCGTCGTATTGGGACCTACATAATTTAGGTCACTCCAGTTGTTTGTCCAACCTGATTTACATACCAGCGAGCAAGAAGAAGTTCGGAAAGCCCGGGATAGCGGTACCGCAGTACGCCTTCGGGCCACCTTGCGAATTGTAGTACTCCTGGACAGAAATGCCTTTATCCCCAACGACGTGGACAGGGTACTTATCCTGCAAAACTATGAGCACATTTTACACAGGTAGAAGAGTGGTTTTTATACCGCAATGAACCCAGTCGCGAATATGATGACATCAAATTCCAAAACCTCCCCTGTAAAATGGATTCAGCGCATGTAATTTACCATGAACGCTAACCATTCTTCGTAACTAGTCCCTGCTCAGTGATGTTTTGAATTCGGTTCCAATTCAGATTCATATTAGGCCGATGGAGGCACTTCAAATAGTCTGTGTCGAAAAGAACACGTTTGCATCCGATCTCTGTGTCGGAGATGAGAAAAGACCAACGACATGAAGCATCTCACCGTAATTCGGAATGAGTTGGCCACGCATCTCCTCAGGGGAACTCGCGAGAATGTATCCTTTCACGCGCTAGAACAATATATGACAGCTATTGTCGCAAACTTGGAAGACGCACCTTGGTCATCATATCGCGAAGGGATTTGCGTGCAAAGACTGCGACGTACAGAAGCTCGCTCTATAGGATATATCAGGTATGGGCCTATAGTGCTTCAAAGAAGAACCAACACGAATGTAAAGCATGGAGCGATATGCCTTCAGTGCTAGTGGAACGTGTCGGAAAATCCATTTTTCCGTGTCGCTGTACTTGCTGCGAGCCTGAGAGACGAGGTAAATTCCTCCTGCTCCAGTGAAATGATACTCGCTGGAGGGAGCAGCCAATTTGGCGTCCTGCAGAACTGGGTGATTTGGACAGAAGGGTCTTCAGAAATGAGAGGAACGAATTGTGTGCTAGATAGTAAGGTCGGTTGTAGAACCATAATGGGAGGAGGCGGAAAACATACGCAGATGCCCCATTGCCGATCACAGCGACTCGTTGTCCCCTGAGATCCACCCCAGTATCCCATCTCGCTGAGTGAAACTTGTGGCCTTTGAACGACGCGAGACCCGGGATGGCGGGAAGTTTGGGCATCTCCAAGATTCCGATGGCTGACACGACCACTTTGGCTGTGATGTTTGAATGCTCGCCGGTAAGCAGGTTCTCGACAGCTACATCGTATTCTGACCCGTTCCAGACTGCGGAAACAACGCGTGTGTTAAGCGTAAGGTGCGGGTAGAGGCTGTATTTCGTCGTCAACTTGCGCCAGTAGTCAAGCGCGTCTGCTTGAGTTCCATGGGTTGACGACCAGTCCGGGTTCAGATCGGTACTGAGCGAGTAGAAGTGTATGGCGATGTCTGACGAAGCGCCCTGCGACGACAATAAGACGAAAAAAAGGCTGGCCGAGGAAGAAGCCATCTTGCCGGGTATATGTTGTCCTACGAAAAAAAAAGGTTTGTGTTAGAAGTGAGAGGAAAACCATTGACGCACGCGCCACGTCCCACCAACATCTGAAGCCTTTTCAAAGATCTAGCACTCTCGTTAGCCCATCTTCTCCGAGATTGTCTGCCGTTCTCACCACAAAGTCCTCACAGTTCAGCTTTCGCTTCAGTGCAATCGCGCAGGAAATACCGCCGACTCTGTGAACACGTCAGACGTGCTCGAAAACAAGGAAAGTGACGGACCCAGCGCCAACGATGACAACTGCAGGCATTGGTGAAGTGTGGTGCGGAGACAACCGTGTGTTGGTCGGCTGACCATTTTGTTTGTGTCTTGACTGGCCGTGTCTTGATCATTACGTCTAACCAATGGACCATCCGCATTTGCAAGGTTCTGGCTCGTACGTGAGGGTGAAAACGAGGAACATGCCCGCGCTAAAGAAGATGCCCAGCTTCAAGTTTCAAGGAAGGGCATTCTAGCACGTGACCCACTCTTTTTTTTTTTTTTTTTTTTTTTTGAATCACATTTATATTCGGCGGGCAAGTACGCTACTGCTACTAAGGCGCGGTGCTCGTAAAAGCAGCCATCGTGGGTGTGTCGGACAACAGGGCAGAGCCGTTCCACTTTGGGGGTTTATGGTGTAGGTGTCGTTGTGGTGGTTCCGTATGCCAGCGTTTGCTGGCTGTAACGGTTGGGTGTTGTCAGTCATAGGCATGAATGCATGAGTTTTGGGGATCATAATGGCGTGTTTTCCGGGTGTGTCGCTTGTCTGCGGGGTTCTCCTCTTCGATGCCTTCCAATCTAACCATGATCGTCGTCGCCCACGTCGTCTTCGTCGTCAGAAAGGTCTGGTTCCGGTTCTTCTTCTTCCCAGGTAGGAAGTTTGACCCACTCAACGGCAAACAGAAGATATAGTCGGTGCTGGATCTTATGGATAAATAAAACTCAAGTAGTAGCATACAAAGGCGGCTCAATAAACCAATTCAGATCCTAATACCTCTCCTTGTCCTTGCGACGGGAGCTCATATCGGGCATGCAGCACCCACAGCACCGTCCAAGCATGAACATGATGGGGGTAATAAACAACAGCAGCCATGCAATCAGCGTCAGATAGAGCGCGTTGCCCATGACTGCCCCGCCTGCATTCCCGACCATCTGGACGCGTTTTTTGATCAGCTGGAAAAACGCGATGTCGAATATGAAGACGGCGAATGCGGCGGCCCCGGCAAAACCACAGAAGCAAGACGAGCAGCAGTCTGCGATGGGGGCGCCGAGGAAAGCGATGAGGGCGAATGCAAACGAGACGAGGGAGATTCCGAATGCGACGATGTGAAGGACCAGCACTTTGGTGAGACCAGAAGCGACGGTATTGACGGAAGAGGCCAGGACAGGGGGGAGGGGACCGCTTATGAAGCTGCTAGCCTCTGTGAAGCGTGAATAAGGCGTGGTGGAAGGCAGAAAAGGTAACAACACACCAGTGAGGTTGTAGCCAATCTTGGGTTCAGAGCATTGAAGGCCGCGACCGTCTTGGAGGTCTGTGCAGAAACCAAGAACTCCGAGGTCAACGAAGGGGGTCGTTGGGGTTACTCCATTCGTTACAGTCGCGTTAGCAAGATCGATGCGAAGGAAGTAGATGCTTTTGAAGTAGGGGACATCGAATGCCGTCTGAGCTGTGTTGAGTGAAGTACAAGAGGGTGGGGCAGATGCTGACCATCCCTAGCAGCGCCGTGCCCGCCGCAACGGAAACCAAACCAAGAACCTTGTCCCACGCGACCATCGTATACTCGTGAAAGAACGAAGAAGATAAAGCTAGTAGGCTGACGATAAGAATGTGGCAACACAACAATCAGCAGACGTACGATTATAAACCAAAGAATAAACTCGCAACCGGTGCGTCCGACGAACGAAAAGACGGGCGAAGATGGAAGTAGGAGGGAAGAAACAGAAAGTGGAGGCTTTGCATGATGGTAAGTCGGCGCTGTTGCGATGATCGTTGTCGACGTCAATCCGCGTCGATCACTCGTGTCAGTAGTGGTCGGCTAGGTCACGATCCATTCCCATCGACTCTCGAGCTTCCCGTTCTTCAAGCCATGCACCAACGAGAGGGTCTTGCTACCACCAGAACAAGAGGCTACTTGTGGTTGCTGACCACTATGCCTCAGCATGCTCCAAATACTTCTAGCCAAGACTTTCTGGCTGCTCGTCGCTGAAACACGTCCCAACTGCCATCCTATATTATCGTCGGTCTAAAGTTAGCCCACAAGAGTTCACCAAATCCCGGTAGGTGGCGCGGATATGGGACGTGAACTACGCCTGGCTAGTTTCGTCCTTCCCGAGGTGTAAGATGATGCATAGCGCCATGGTTGCTTGAGTTGTCTGGGCTTCTCTACAACTCCCGTCGCATGTAGCGCGCCCATCAAGCACTGTTCGGGAATCCTTCTTTGCGGTTCATAGAGGCAACGTGGCGTTGGCGTTGAACAAAGCAGGATCAAACACATAGGTTTTGCATTTTGAGATCATGATATCGTCAGAATGGTCCTAGTATTGTCATTGGAGATAGGTAGAGCATACCTTTGAGCTTGTCACGATCTCCAAGGTCCGTTTCGCGAAGGACGATACTGGAATGCCGACGGTCATATTTTTGGGTTGGCACACTGTGAAAACGGAGTTGGGATTGTAATCCAGCAACACTGGGGACATCTCAGCTATCCTTATACTATAACCATAAAGTTGACTTAGAGTAGTTTTGAATGGCCCCTGGGCCAGCAGAAGGGAGTCGCAGCGGCCCAGAGCCAGGTTGGTGAGATTGAGAAGCTTGGACATATAGCCGGCCATAGAGGTTGAGTTGGTATATATGAACGAATGGTGAGCAGTATATTTCGGTGCTACAGAGCCCCAGAGATGGAAGTCAACATAGAAGTCAACAGTATGAAGGCTTGCAGCAAAGGAGGACGATCACGCTTTGATCACGCTCCGCCAACCATCATGTTATCACGACCGACGAAAACACCCCACGTTTCGTAGCCATGTCCACTCTCATCCTCATCGCGGCTACCTCCTCTTATGCGTCTACCATCTCGACCGCCACCGCTTTCGTTACTCTTCGACGGCTTCCTCTTGTTGCCGCCAGCTTATACCCGTTGTCTGGACGGGGGGTACCGGTCACTGACAAGCCCATAACACCCTCATCCGAGTCGTGCATGAACCCACCGCCTACGTTTTAAATCTTCTCAAGCCACCTGAGTGTCCTCACCTCATTGCCGCCTTAAAGACTGTGGGGTCTGTTGGATACACCATCGACTACCTTCAACTAAAGTCGCTCGGCGATGTATCCCTATCTTCCCTGCGGTAATTTCTCGGTTGTCGGTCCGCAAGTCAACTGTGTGTTAATGGAGGAGACAGCGGGGTTGGCAGACATGGATATACGGGATTGTGCCGTGGAACCGCTGGAAGATAGTCTTTAGGGAAAGCGGGGGGATCAAGTGGGATTTTAAACAATCTACGGCGAATAGCGTGAGTTTACTCAAGTTTCTTTGTTTCTCTCACAACTGATGCTTCTTGGCTCTTGAGCATTCAGGAAGGAACCTTGGTTCTTGCTTGTGCGACAAATGTGTAGCGTATACTTCTCGGACATTGCTGTACTAAATCAAGCATCTCTCCCCGGCGCCGGGCGAATCAGGCTGGATGACGCATAAGCTTTTCTGGTGGGCCAGCAATCAAAGAATGAGGTTGGGTGTTCGAAGCAGTCTTTTTTCCCTACTAGTATTGCGACTAGGTCCTCACCAACAAATCCGTGGATGTGCTTTGTGTCGAGTTGGCTGGCACTACTAAGATTATTCCAAACATGCATGTTTCACAAACATACCCCACTATTATTTCATATCCAAAAGTATTCCTAATCCATCTTGGTCGAATGGCTTGGCGAATCCGCTTGAGCCTCCTCGGCTGGTAAAGGCGGTCCCTTATAATGATGCCGACCACCTGCAACATTGGCATGTCAATTGGGGAGGACATGGATGCGATATTGGCCACTTACCGAATATATACCAAACAGCACTGATAAAGCCAAACCCGACGAAGACAACAGAGGCATAATCTAATAGTCTCCGGTCAATCCTAGTCTCCAGAACCAAAGCACACGCACTCATTGTGACACGGGTAACCGGCACCACCGCCGGCATCGAGAACAACACGATCTCGAAGGCCGCCCACAGGACGGCAATCGCGTTAAGCACTGTCCCCATTTTTTTCCCTAGCCCGAAGGGCGAGTCTTGTACTTCTTTTCTGCCGGAATACAGAGAGATAGCCACGGGCATAGCGTAGCTGGCACCTAAACACATAACAGCAACACCGACAAAGGCATTGAAGGCTGCGCTGGAGCCTAAATAGATCAGCCCGAGGAGGAGCTGGATCGTCGTAGAGAGTAGGATAGCATTTAGCGGGACACCACCCCCTCCCCCCAGACGGCTGTTGACACGTGCAAATATCAATGGGAATGGTATTGCTCCATCACGGCGCAAACGCCCACGTCGAGCGAGAGGCGGCACACGAGATGGATATTGCGCAGAATATGCCAATGCCAAATATGATGAACCACTATCGGCGAAGTCAGTGCCGGGTGAAATGTTTAGTAGTGAACCAACACACAAGGCCGAACCCGCCCCCTTTTGAGCCCATTATGAGCTCAAACATGACGCCTATAGGCTGTCCGCTTGCAACTACAGGACTGAGCCGAAAATCAACAGCAAGTGAGGGTGACTTGCCAGAGAGTAGTATCGATATATCTGGAAGGGTGAACAGAAGCGGTACCAGAAAAACTACACCAGTAAGAAACCCAATCGGGATTGACCAAGTAATGGCCCTTGGGAGATCACGCGACGGGTCGTGGACTTCTTCGGCCATACTGGCAACTACAAATCCAGTCAGTGTTGGTTTTGGTGTAACCAGAGGACCATGAACTCATTCCGATAGCAGAAAAAGTGTAAGCTTCCAACGTCTTGCATTCAATAACGCAGTCAACTGGTGATTTGACCTACCAGGCTAAAGCAATATCAGTTGTGTACTCACATCAATGAAGAACTTTAAACAAACCGGAAGGAGTCCAATGAAAAAACCCCAACCCGCTGTCCATCCCGGAGGGCGATGGGTCGAAATGGCCAAGAGCAAATGCTGCAGGATGGCGCCCAGCTTCTGCTTTGACCGAGGTTGCAACAAGGATAACTTGAGGTTGTCAAAGGATGGTTGAGGATACATGGCCTTGACGGACCGATAACCCCGATAAGAGTCCAATACGCAGAGATAACCTGAGGAAAGGTTAAAATGTAGTCGCCGACATTGAAAATAGAGGGCGGACATCAATTTTTGGGAGGATGGAGTTGAAGAAAACACAAAAAAGGACAGCGACACCGGTTACAGCCAAGAATATGAGGTCTGTATATACCATGAGCAGAGAAAAGCGACCGGTTGAAGAGATGAACAACATGTTTGCCATGGCTTGACCTCCCAGTTTGGGACGTATATACCTGCGCCAGCGACGATAAGCTGGGCTGTACCCTGTTAATGATTCAATGATAAGACCATGAAGAACATGTCAGGCAGCCTTACAAAAGTTACAGATAAGCTGATCGTCCAAACTCCGACCATGGTCAGCCATCCATTGATCCAGGAGACGAGCAGTCGATGATTAGGTGGCGCAAGGCGGAAACACCAATAGTATGCACCAGCAGAAGTTGGATATTTGGCGCAAATTTCGCCAAGAGAGAAAGCAAGTGGGAGCGTAAGTGCGGATACGAGCACCCAACTAGGGTTTAATTAGTTTCCGAGGAGCGAGAGTTTGGGCAGAGAAACGAACCCCCAGATAATGGTGGCGGGGCCACCCCCGATAAGAGAGGTAGCGATTGGAGCGGCTAACCCATAGGCTGGAAGGATACATTCATTAGTGTGCACAAGAACAGGGAGTAGTGAGAGAGCCCAAGGGAAATGGAAACTTACGAACGGCCATTATTGCTGACATGAATAGGCAATAAGTTTGTGCTCTGAGCACTGTCGTCACTGAAAGGCATACCAAGCGTCACTGTGCCATCGTAACTCGCCTGTGCGGTTGAAATAGGAGACGAGTGGCTCACTGAACAACATGTGGAAGAGCCCACGACTCTGTCGCATTCGGTGAGCCACGTTAGTGACACAAAAAGAACGATATACGTGCCCGTGTCATCTCTTGCTTATAGCCAAGCTTCTGTAGATCTGCGGCAGCATAGGTGTCCTGGGAAGGTTCGTTAGGAGCCGCTAATATGGGCATGAAGCAAGAGATGAGGACCTGGGAATTGTCGTGGCGTTTATGACAAAACTTGGAATTCGCAAGTTCTATGGAAAAGTCGCACCGGGAGTGTCGTTCACGCGCTCCAAACTTCCGAGCCAATCGTACTGGTAACAGAGATGTTCATGTGCTAGCGAGTAGCAGCCAGACTGGACGGTTCAAGTTATCGCTGGCAATGTGAGGATGAGGAACGGGACGTGCCTCGTAGAGTACATTTCTGAGATGAGATGTTTGCGCTGGCAAGATTGGTCGAGCAAGAGATGCTTAGCCCAAACAATAATGGGCACGACGGTTCTAGCCAAAGATTTTACTTGACTGTGTGACCAGTGTGACCATGGCAATTGCCTTCAAGTTTCTCTCTCGTCCCGTCATTCACTCAACAAATCTCCTCTTGAACATCCTGTTTTGTACTTTGGATATACCTACGGTTGACAGCGCAATACAATAATGCAGTAGGCCGATTGTACCCGGGCCGGATGAGAGATTTCAAGCTTCCCAAGTCGCACACAAACCGGCTGAGCTCCATAGCTAGCTCCATGTTGAGCCTCCTGAGCCCTCCTCACTGTATACGGTAGCTCAGGCTGAGTGTCAGGGATTCTGGGTCTCACTGGAAAGACGGGAATAAGACATCAAAGTTCAATGCATCAACTTGAATTCACGTTGAGCAAGCCAGGGACAAATTACTTATATATCGAAATCTTCTGCATCACTGTCTTCCCAATTCCGAGCATTGGGCCCTTGCACGCGCACTTCTTCCCAATCAAAAACTTTTACCACTGCTTTTACGCCGCGCCAATCCTTGACATCTTTCCCATTCTCAGAGTCCCCGTTGTCCCACTCCGAGTCCGAGTCTGAGTCGCCTCCCGCACCTGGGGCCGCGATATGCAAACGGACCTTTACCCTCTCAAATTTGGCATTGAATATCTTCCGGTATGCATGCGCAAAATCCTCAACCGCCTCCATCACATTGCTCAACGAGGTTTTCCTCTTTAGAGGAATGTCGACGATCAGAGAGGCCAGAGCATCGAACCGTTTCCGCTGGGTGAGTGCTTGCACAACCCGCCGTCCCTGTTCGTCTGCGCGGATGGTAACTGTTTCGAGCGACTGTGCGGGAATAATGTTTGCCGGGCCACTGAATAGCGCCTTCCATGTCTTCACGTTGACGCTTGCCCCCGCGACGTGGAGGTGGGTGATGGTAGACAGTTGTACTGGGGCCAGCGAGCGAAAGAAGCTCTCAATGATTCTACTGGAGTGGTTCCACGCAGGCTCGTCCATCACCAGCGAAATCAGCTGGGTTTCGTCTTCAGCAAGTATTGTCAGCGAGAGCTGATCCAAGAAGTATGTTGCGTTGGGGTGCCGATAGGTCTGGAGGATGAGTGTGCGAGCCGTGCTGCTTGCCGCTTGAAGCGTGGCGTGGGCGACGAGAGGTGGTATAACGGAGTTGATGATCTCGGTGGTAGGGTCGATACCAGGAGTCCCACCGCCTTTCAAACAAATACTGAGTCGTGTAGTGCCCGGGAAATGCAGAGCCACGAGCAGGTTCGCCACGGTGTACGTGCGGGCTCCGATTTCGAATGACTCCAGTAGTGGCAAGTCCACACTTGGATACACCGTCGCGTTACCAGGCTGGATAAAATCCAAGCCGAATGCACCATCCAGTCGTAAAGTCTGCAAACCAGGTGAAGATGTGAGGAGGGGCAGTACGGCTTCAACGGAAAGCCAGGCTGATTTGATCTCAAGACATGTTAATAATGTAGTCGCTGGCTGGCTGAAGACGCGCTTCAACTGAGGGTGGAATGTGACCTTGGAGAGGGAGAGATGGCGAAGGGCTGCCATTCTCTCAAGTGAGAAAACTGGTTCTGAATCTTCAGGTTCGGGCGAGTGGTAATCCCGGTGTAACATCTTCAGTGGGCCATTAACTTCTTTTTGCTCGACAAAAAAACGCGTCAAGACGGAGAGCTCGGCTGGCTGGATAAGCTTCAGGAAGGTTTCTATCGTAGTTTTCGGGCCAGAAATCTTCAAGTCGAGAATCCGAGCAGACTGCGCTAACATCGTCCGCAAATGCTGCTCCGTATTTTGGCCAGTGACCGCCTTGAGCTCGATGCATAGTTTCCTCGTCCGGGACCGCTCCAACGCGGTCAGTAGAAGCTTTGGCCGCCATTTTTCGAGATCTATGTGCGTCCACAACTCCGAGGCGCCGATGCAAAGCGTGTGCCATCGCCGACAAACAAACATCACCCCATTGTCGCAGGGTAGACCCGGCACAAACGAGAATATACGCGCGAAAATTTCGTTTGGCATGCGTTGGACAATTGAGATCGAATTCCGTTCTGCTGTGAGAACCGCGATGCGGGCGTGTAGCTGACGAAGTTCTACGTCAATAGCGACAGTTCGGGCTGCTGCCGACGCCGCCTCTGCCAATTCTTCGGTCATTCGGTACAATGCTTTTCAGAGGCCTGTTAGCGTCAAGGATTTAGATTAGATGAATGCCGTTTTTTGAAATTACAGACTCATGGACGAGGTTGGCAGGGGTGTCACGGATCACGCAATAACGTGTTATTGTGGCTTATTGTGGTCGTCACGCTCACCCCCTCTTACTTAGACCAAATTCACACTCTGACTGTGGTAAACAAGCGATAACGGGACTTGGAGCTCGAGTTATATGGAACTTCAAGTTGAAAATCACAAAGAAACCAGCCTATCGTGACTAATAAATTAAAGTCCATGCAGTACACGCAAAAAAACTCCAAAAGGAAGTTAATAAAACTAAAACATGTCAGTTAGGGACAACATCGGCAAGCAGACTGTGCACCACAACATGAGGCGCTCGCCCAGCCTGGGGGAAGATAATCATGCCGTGCGAGCGACCCGGCGGGGAAGGGGGAGGCGAAATGATGTAACTCCGGCCATCCGCCGAGGGCCGTACATTCTGTTCTGTTGCGATGTAGGGTTTGGAATAGTGGGTTTTGCTGCTAGTGTGGCGAGAACGACCAGCTGACTTATGACTTCGCGAGGAACGCGAGCTGTGAGACGAGCGACGAGAGCTGACTTGCGAAATCGAGTCGGAGGGATAGACCGTAGGTGGTGGTGGTGGTGGTGGTGGTGGTGTAGTAACACTGGCATTGTCCTTGCGGTGAGATGCTGTCCCACTTGACGAATGGACCTTTGTTGCTGGTGCCAGTGGATGTGATTGCGTACGACCAGAGGAGGAGACAACAGAACGCGGGGTGAACGGCGACTTCAGCGATGGAGTGCTTGCTGTCTGGTTGACCCAGTTAGCTATCCGTCGCTGCGTGGCCTGGTAACGTCGTTGCCCCTCTGGAGAGTAGTCGTATTCGGTCATAGTGAGCCTGTACTTAAGTCTTCAGTAAGATTGTCTGCTGGTAGCCGAGCCATCGCTCACCGATGGAGCTTCGCTGTCTACTCAGAACTGCTCAGAACTGGCCTGAGCCGTCTGAGGCGTAAGCTCAGGGCCCGAGGAAGAGTAGGATGGGAGGAATGAGACACTGAAACTTGTAAGCAACAGATGGCCCGTTATATACCAGGTCCGGTAGACAAAAGCAGAAGGGCATGGTCGGGGAAGGCAAAGAGGTGACAGCCAAATGATTCACCGCCAATGATTAGCGAAGACACGAGATGTGGCGCATAGCCCCATCAAGGTGTTGCAGTTACGAACGACTGTTCCATGACTTTGATTATCCGAAAACGCGTGGAACCACCAGTGTTCAACCGGAAAATGATTTTTGAGGAATTTTCCAGGGACTTTCTATAGCATTTCGCCAAATCTGGCCTGGTTGTGCCACATTTAGGCCACACAGCAGGCTGCGGGAATGGGCACGGGTTTGCTATTTTAATCGTGTTGCGCGTCCAGCGTGCTGAATCCGGTTGCGGTGCTATGTAACAGCAAGCGAAGAAGCGAGTGTCGGAAGAAGATTGACGTTGAGGGTGATGTAGATTTTCGCAAGTCGGACCGTGCCGTGTAAAAATCCAATCCAATCCTATCCAAGGGATCCGTGGCGTCACTCCGTTTTGAGAATAACATCAAAATTTCAACATTGAACGACGCGGAGACGAATGGGGTGGTCCCAGGGACTCATGCTTTTCAATTTGACAGTACTGGGACTCGGAACGGCAATGAACGCCACACTTGCTTATTTCTTGCTTGTTTCCCCTGCTCTCCTGAGTCTCCTCATGATAATTTTAGCTACTTAGGCGTCCCAGTCTTCTTCTGATGTACCGGGGCTATGTTATCTGCTATGTAGACATAGACCAGACATCTCCTAGGCCCCGGGAAGCTCCACCAAAGCCTTGTCCGAGAAAATCAGCAATTTTGGCCTCAAAAACCTTACGATTTGGGCCTCAAAAACCTGAAATTGGACAAGGGTCATCACGTGCTTTCCAAAAGGGGAAATTTTGCGGGAAAATGGCACCAACCAAATTCGATACTTGGGTCAGAATTTCGACTTTACTTTGCGATGATAGGCACAGATTGCGCAGTTTACATTGTGCCTGCCTTCATCTAAGAATATTTTCCTGTGAGCCGAGTGAACCAAGGAATGAACTGACCAGTCTGACCAGAAAGAAGCCTGAAAAACCTCAAAACCGGACAAGGATTTCAAAATTTCCGCCTGAAAAACCTTGAATTCGGACAAGGAAATCGCCATTTTCCGCCCTCAAAAACCTCAAATTTCGGACAAGCCTTGAGTGGAGCTTCCCGGGGCCTCATCTCCTTCAAGTTCTCGAATCGCTCGACTCTCAGGCTGATCCCGAGTCTATAGTTGAGAGTTGTCAAGGTTCAAGTTGCAAGTAAGTACAGCTATGGACCGGGGAAGTCAGCGGCTGGCCGCAGCCACAGCCTGCTCTCTGCTGTATCCTCAGACGCCCATTTCCATTGGCAATCATATCTAATCAGTGATCATGATTATCTCATGTGATACGTGACTCTATCATCTAGTACTATGTGACCTGCCTCTTCTGTTTCGTCACTGAAACTTGTGTGTGTGTGTATTTGAACAGAGCATAGTACATTCGTCTCACAAGCTTTTCCCAGCACCTTCTCGATGACAACAAGCATTGTCCTGAACAACATCATAACAGACTCACAAATGGCCAACTTGAACCCTGTCATCCGCAAGTCATCCATCGAATTCCGAACAAAACACTCGCGCGATCTTCATTTCTCTGCCAGGCCTCCCATGGGACGGTTCAGGTGCGATGCACGTTTGCGTCGGCATGTCGGAACTAAGAACTTTGGGCGGACATCCAACTCCATAACTTGAAACCAGTGGCACCCAAAACGACTTCTCGCCGCACTGAAATAGTCCTATCCTTGCGAACCATGCCAAACTTCAAGCAATGTGTCTATGGCCCGCACACTAGCTCTTTGTGTTTGTCCAAACCCCGATCTAGGCAATTGGACTGGTTCCCTGCGGAAAATTTCACTGGCAACTTGAATGGAGACGATGACGAATCGCCATTTCTCTCGCTCGCGCGGGAGGCGTGGAACCACTCGAGCCAGATCATTGAAGTCTTTGTCCGCTCACTCGCCGTTTCACATCTGCCGACTGTGACTCACCTTTATGTTGCGGGCGCAAGCGTCAATAATAATGCCAAGATATGGAAGTTGTTGCTTGCATGGGATGTTATATCTGCGCAGGCTCTAGAACGGGCTACTTACCGTCCAGGCGGACATGCAGGTTAGGCGGGTTACCCAAGCACTCGCTCAGAGGAAGAAATTCGATGCATTGAAGGAATTGATCATGGAGGTCCCAGCGAAGACGGATACTATTGCAGGATATGGTATGCACGGTGGAAGGCCTTGTAGCGGCATATCAGAAGACGTGTAAGACCAAGCTTGGGCAGCGTCGAATCAGGGTGCAGCTTCACCGCCTAGAATGCGGAAGGGAATTGGGAGTCCGTCAGTCAAAAGGGTGCAACTATCCACCGGGGAAAAGGTACAAGGTTCTTCAAGTTGCTTGTACTTGTCCCTGGACCTTGTCAAAAGGCGGAGCGGCTGCCACTGGAGCCTGCTTTAAAATTACATCGCGCTACATAATACCTTCGTCCAAGTCGAACCGTAGTGTTATATTCAACTCGTTTGAGGATGTCTACATTGAGGAGTCCACAATATTAGAGAGAAACCAAAGGAAACCAAACAACTACAACCTATGATCTGTCTTGACTCTTGACCCGAACCACCATCATCTAAGTCTTCACCTTTTTCTTGTGACCATCCCTCCTCTGGGTGATGAACTTCGCCACCGTTTAAGAACATTCCCCCCCCCTAGCAAACCAAATCCTTTGAGTGGGAATCGGGATCCGGAGTAACCACGTCGACACAACACGAGCGTCCTGTTTGTAGCAATATCGATGGATGGTCTCCTGGTAGATCCTGGTATGTTTGACCTTTGGGGCTCCGTGCTGAGCACACATCTGACCCACTTTTCAGCGAAATGCTCAGTCTACTAGCGAGCTACTAGTATTTGAGTACTAAGAGCATTGGGTTGCTCGGGGCCTCAGACGGGTTTTCCCTCTGTGCTACTCTCTTTGGGCGCCGGCTGGCTAGGTCGTCCCGTTGGCTTGGTGTTCGTAACCAGCTCGTTGGTGTGATCCTTTTTCGCTGAGATTAGAATGCTGCTTGACCTTTTTGGTAGTATCACTTGTTTCGCAACTCAAGACGAAAGCCAAATCATTCCCCCCCTGTTCTCGCGCGGTATTATTATTATTATTAAGGGCATAACAGTCCCAAATCTGGGTACCGCGGTATGTCTTTGGTTTATGTCGCTTCGTCTCAATTTCCTGTATAGCGGCTACCCATTCCAGTTATCGTCATCCTCTGTGTTCAACATAAAACCGGAACCAAGATCACAGACCGACACGTCCGGTACAAGTTGTCCTTCTTGAATCACTGTTATTATTTAACGAGATCCTTTTCAGGAAAACTCACATCGCTATTTGATTTTTCGGACTTGCGTTGTTGTTCAAATGCGTATTAACTTGTCACTCCGGAGTACATTCCATTAAATTGAAATAGATGCAACAGCGCGAATCTATCTGTTCCCACTGTGTTTGGAAAATCAAGCCTTATAACTACGGAGCGTCAATATGGCATCAGGTATGACGGTCGCTATATTAATAGCCCCCCCTCTCGTCTCTCATATGCTCTGACTGTCGCTTTCGTAGTGCCGACCAGCCTTTACTTCCTCCGTTTACCATTGCAGCACAAGCCACAAACCACGATATTATCGTCACAAGCACGAGGTATGTGCGTGGTTCTTGTTATAATGGGTGTTGGCACTGAGGTAGGCTTCACTTCCTCCCATGCGCTCCTACCAATCTTCCACCCGGTCCTCTTCACCGTTGGAGCTACCACGCCTCACTCGTTCTGTATCAGTCAATTTGGGAGAATGGTCGCCGCGTCCTGGGTTTGTTGAAGCATTTCAGGCTGGATTGTCCAAGGGCAGCTTGCCTGGCTCTGCTATACCAAGCCCTGCATGGTCTCCCGCTCCAGGAAGCCTTATTCTTGCCGAAACTTCTCCAGTATCTACCTCATCGGCCGATTTACTTGATGATGAAGGGTGCCTTGATCGCCAAGAGCGAGAGTCCCCTGCAGTGGATTCGGAAGAGACGACAACCAACTATTCCGACGTTCTCGCAAAGTGTGCTGTTAACCCGCGCTACTATTTCGACGACCGCATCTCCTACTTGAAGGTCAGTTATATTATCTGATGAATCAGCTCACCCGCTTACTCCTGGAAAGGTGGAGAACCAAAAGTTCAAAGTCCATCGCCATTTTCTCGTACGCGATTCAGTGTACTTCCAAGAAATGTTTGCAGGGCCTTTAGGTGACTTTGGGTATACAGAGAGCGAGGCGATTCCTTTGGAAGGTATCGGGAGTGCCGAATTCGAATGCTTGCTCGACTTCTTTTACACTGGGTAAGCTCCACTTCAAGTTTCACATTAGTCCTACCTTCTCTAATCAACCCATCGAGCAGAATGTATGGCCAGACAGAATTCTCACTCAGTCAATGGATGACTCTTCTCTCCATTTCTACACGCCTCCGCTTCGACCGTCTTCGCTCCCATGCTATCCAAGCTATCGAGGATAGCCCCGCCGAGCTCGACCCGATCGAAAAGATCGTGCTGGCGGTCAAATATCACATTCCGACTTGGCTGGCACCAGCATATGCTTGTATTTGTCGACGGCCTAATGCTCTTGAAGAGTGGGAAGCAGAGAAGATCGGGCTGAAGAAGACCGTGATGGTAGCCAAGGCGAGAGAGGTTTACCGGGCCCGCGCAGGTGCCTTTGTGGGCTCTGGCGACACGCGTCCCTGCAGTCCTGCATTTTCATGGCGGCAGAAGGGGCTCTTGTCACCGATGGAGATGCCAGCACAAGACCTTGAGCAGGCAAGGGCGGAAAGAGTCGTTGATCAAGTCTTCTTTGGGATTGGGGCATGACTTGCATTTTAGTTTTGACTGACTTAGCTGGCTCTTGTTTCGTGCTATGTATCTATAGTAATGTAACTCCGTTCTTTTGTTCTTGCTCATATGAGTGGACCAGCGATGTTGAAGGTTTTGCTCAGGAAGTGCTAGTCACGTGCCTCGAGACTTCTTTTCTTTGGCACCACTTGCTTTCTCCAGAATTCTCTCCCCCTCCTGTAATCAGCTCCCAGGGAAAACCGCCGCGCGCATCCGCGAGAATCGTGGCTGAAATGGATCCCAAGATCGCTGTACTTGAATCAAAGAACGACTATTTCGCCCAGCTGCCCAACGAAATACTCGATAAATTGTTTTCGTTTGTTCCTGGCCTACCCAATGATGGCTGGATGTACGTCTGTCGTCGGTGGTACGAGCTGAGCAAGGATCCACAGCGGTGGGCCAGTATCACACTCAAGAAGTGGCGACCGAAGCGCTTGCTGGGTGCGTTGGAGCGGGCTGGTCAGCAGCCGCTGAACGTAGTCATTGACCGCCTCGGCTCAAATGCGGAGGAGACAATCAAGACTATGCTTGGGCAGGCTGCGCGGCTTGTGTCGCTCAATATCTGCGGTGACGCTAGCGAAATCGATCAAGTTGTAGCGCTCATTGTGAAAGTCACGGCCTTTCCCGTACTTGTCTCGCTCGCCTTGGCGAAAGAAGAAGATTTGGACATTGGCAACGAGGCCTTTTACGAATATGCGGATCAAGTCCCGCCATTGCCGCTGGCGCGGATGCCCAAACTTTCGAGCCTCAGTCTTATTGGTGTCCGTATAGACTACAAGGCACCGCTCCCATCCTTAACGCTTCTCCGCCTCTCTTGGTCCCGGGCACTTTATCGGCTCGGAAGAACACTTCGGTTGTTGCAAAAGTCGCCGAAACTTGAAGCGCTGATCTTAGAAGATGGCCGCGTCGATGACCCTCACCCCGTTGACACAGACGAGTCAGAGGACGAAGAAATTCTTGCATCGGACAGGACCTTAAAAGAAGTCCAGCTACCGATGTTGAAGCGGTTCAAGTTGCGGCATTGGTCGTCCAATATGGGCGTTGTCTTGAAGCATCTGACGCTCCCTTCGCACACTCGAATGTCGTTTGATGCCGACCAGTTTGATACAGAAGTTTTATGGAACGGGTTCACCTCTATTCTCCAGCGACAAAGCCAGATATCGAGTCTACCGATGCCACAAGCATGTCTTCTTCGCATCGAAGGCCATTTCAGCACTCGATCTTCTCCTCAATACCTGACCATTGACACCTACGCCCAAGACTCACTTGATACTCCCGCTCACTTTTCGCTTCGATTTGGCGAGGAGCCAGAGCCATCCGAGAACGCGGCTGCGACGAAGAATTTCTTGCGCGCAATTGCGCCAGCCCATCTGTCCAAACTAAAGCACCTGTATGTTGCTGGTGAACTTCTGAGCAAGGCTACCTGGCAGGCCCTTTTCGCTGACGGCATCATCCCACTTGCTTCGTCTGTGGAACATATCACAATCCGTGTCGACGACAGCCACGCGTGCGAGTTATTCATCCAGAGCATCCAAGTCGCTCCCCCGCTGCGCATTGTCACCGTCATAGTGGAAGAGTATTCGTTCTACTCAAAGGAACGCATTCCTGATCCGCTCAAACAATTGGCGAAGGCTTACTTCAAGGCACAGGGTGTCAAATTGCCGCTTTTGCAGGTGCGATGGGAGGCAGAGGCGATCGAGGCGGCACCAGGCGCTCGAGAGTCAGAGGAGATGAAGAAGTGGGAGGATTTGAGGGGAGTGGGTTGAGAAATTCGAGTGGCGGAGAGTGACTTCAGCATAACAGGCTGATGACAGGTGGGAGGTGGCCCGGGAAAACTAAATGTCTTGCGCTCAGTACAACATAAAAAGTCCAATTCGATTCTTGTCTTCTTATATAGATTCATTTAATCGCTTGGAAGCCATCGCTCATCTACCCTTGGGTTTAGTGTCCAGCTCGGCAACAGCGAAAGAGACCCTCACCGACATCCACGTTCTGGTCAAACTCGTGCTCTTCCTTGCAATACCAGCGCACCATTTGTCCATCAGGGTCTTCAGCAACCAGAACCCAGCCAACTACACCGCGCAGCACACGACTGCAGTCCACGTTCTTGGCCTCCAAATACGTCTTCTGATCCTCCAGATCGGCACGTGTTTCGACAAGCCACGTTATGGCGTCCCACCCACGCTGCGCCGTCGCTTGGGTTGGATTTAGACGGAGCTCGACAAGAAGAGACGTCGCTTGGTGCTGTACCAACACGCCGTATGGCTGGTCGGCGCCCGGATGTTTGTGGTCCAACTCTGGGCGGTACTTGAATCCAAGAATCGTGGTATAGAAGTCGAGTTTGGCGGGGATGGAGGCGGTGGGCAGTTTGAGGTGATGGATGCCGAGGTTGGGCGGTGGAATGGGGCTCGCCATGGTATGGAAATGGGAGTTGATTCGAATTATAAGCGCCACAGGGATTTGAATATGGCAAGCGAGCGCGTCGGGCTCGGAGGGGAGCTGAGAGCACGTATTACGGACAGGCGGCCCATGTCGACGGCGCCGAGTGCCGGTTCGTGATGGAGCGGTGGTCGACAAGAAATTCCCGCAACTTGTTCAAACTCTAGTTTGAAAGACAGTCTCAGGCTCTTCCGTTTCTAGCTGGTAGGGTGGAAGCAGGGTGGAAATCGATGGCAAAGACATTGAAATTTGCTACCAACACATATATTGGTGGGGTACTTAGTGGTGGTAGCGGTTTTCGGGATGGAAATGAATTATGCCGTGACCGTGACAGTCACGTGACCGCTTTCTCCTACTACTTGGCAACGACGAACAGCCTCGTCGCGACTGCACACCCGCGATGTCGCCACTATCCTGTATATAACCGCAACCTGTCCAGTCCCCCGCATTAATGCCGCGCAAAACGATACTCGTTGCTGGAGCCACAGGCCATCAAGGCTCGGCGGTCGTCCGCTCACTGCTGTCGTCCCCTGACGCAACTGACTTCCGCATCCTACTCCTTACCCGTACCGCCCAGTCTGCCACCGCAGTCCGCCTCGTAACCGCCTTCTCCAGTGTGACATCCGATGTCTGTCTGGTCCAAGCAGACATGTCTGACATCGACGCGCTAAGAAGAGTGTTTGTGGATGAGCAGAGACACGGGGCAGGCGTGTGGGGTGTGTTCTCGGTGGTGGCGTACCCAGGCCTGGGCGTGTCGGGCGACGGCGCGGAGAAACAGGGAAAAGTGTGTGGCCACTTTTTGCTACCAGCGATGATACTAACTCAATTTTAGAATTTGGCGGACGTAGCCCTCGAATTCAATGTCTCGACGTTCATTTATTCATCGGCCGAGCGTGCTGGCGAATACTACGATGACAATATGAAGCTTGACGGGATCGCAAAGGTCAATATCGAGCGGCATGTGAAGGAATTGGGCAAGAAGGGGCTGCGCTGGACGTGCGTGTCCCAACTGCATCCAGCGCTGATTCCCGAACCCAGCATAGACTTTTACGACCCGGGTTCTTCATGGAGAACTATGAAGGCTTCATTGGCTCACTCATCGTGTCAGTCTTCAAAGCAGGGCTGCAGCCAACAACCACCGTCCCGCTGGTGGCCGTAGAAGACATCGGCGCCGTTGCCGCTGCAGTATTCAGGGTATGTCCTCATCCCTAAAACTGTCTCGAAGTAACTGGGGACAGAATCCAGTCAAATATCAAAACCAGATCCTCGCCATCATCGGAGAAGGTGAGCAAATCGATCTCCACACAGCCTATCATTGACTTTCTGCAGTCTCGACAATGTCCGAGCAAGATGCCGCACATAAGTCTGTCGCTGGCACAACCCTCCCCGCTCTCCATTGGTCGATAGCCAAAGCGACACTGGCGCTCAACAAGGATACGCAAGAACTGTGAGCTCTTGTCCCAATCCTTTGTTTTAACTCACCCCACCAAGCATTCAACACCTCGAGCGCTTACACATGGCACGACAAACAGGCTTGTGTCCCGAAGTCGCTGACCAAGTTGCCATGGCTTGCGAAGCCCACCCAGGCATGCGCTCGCTCAAGATGTGGGTCGCAGAGAAGAAAGCGGGTGGAACATTGATGGGGGAGGCGCAGGAGGTCGTTGAGCCAAAGGAGGGGTGGAACGAGATCTCGATACTGAAACTGCTCACCGGCAGGTCGTGATGTTGGTATAACCTGCCTATTACCAACTCCGGGAGACAATGGCACAAAATTCACGTTGAAACCGACTGAGGCTGCTTTGCTTCCTCTCAATACTACGAGTACACAACTTGACTTGGAACAGGCTTTCTCACTGGCAAGCTGTGTTAGTGGTATTAGTAGGTCGCGTGTCTTGCGGCAAATACATGACATCGAAGATCCTGCACTCAATCTCTATATAAGCTGAAATTGGTGAGTAGTTGGCTCGCTCACAACTTCAAGTTAAACTGAACTTTGAAAGCTTAAAACTATTAAATCTTCCTATCCTGCTATGATTCTGACTACTGGGTGGAATCCCTAACTCAAGAAAACCCGGTGCAAGACCAAGAAGCCAGCTTACCCAAGCGGACTGAAGATCCAAGCAGGACCCTCATAGTCGATGAAGTTCCACACCGTATTTCTCTTCCACCCTTCCTTCTTCCACCCGTTAAGCGTGCGTGGGTGATACGGCAGACCGCTCAAGCCGCTATTCTGCGATAGACCGGTCAAATTCGCCACAAGGGTCAAGTCGTGCGCGATGAGGACAAGCACGTTGTCTGCTGCATCCCATCTGGCGACCTTCTCAAGCGAAACGGCGGCGACCACCGGGTCAGCCCAGAACGAATCGGCACCGTCAGCGATCCGCAGCAGAGGTTCGGCGCGTGACTGGATGTCGAATGCCCCGTCATGAGAGCCGGAGGAGAAGAAATAGTCCGTTGAGACGTGCTTGCCGGCGCCGGCCACCAAGTGGGCTGGACAAGGGAAGTTGGCTTGAAGACTGGGGCGAGGACGAGCTTGACCGGGATGGTGGAAGGTATCGCCTGCAAGAAGTATGAAGGAGGGTGGGTTCGCGGTGACGCGGGCCAATGCTGTCAAATGGCCCGGAACATGCTGAAGGCAAGCAGTGTCAGCAAAATGATAATGGAAAACAAGGATTGACGAACGCCTGGCGTATTCACGAGGTAGAAGCTGCCATCCCCGAAGTAATCCACCGCTTGCAAATCATTAATTTTCAGCGTAGATTTGGCGAAATCGATGCGGATGACGTTGCGACCACTGTTCTTATCATCACCGCAAGTAAAGCTGGGAACAACAAGACATACGCGAGATCAGACTCTAAAAGAGAGGCATTGGGATTGCTGGGATAGGTCGACGTGTCGGTTGCGGAGCCGATGACAAGACTTGTGGAGTTTGGGAACTTGGACATGTCTCCCTATAGCAAAGATTATTCAACTCTCTCGCACAGGCCGCAAAACACGCACAATGTGGTCGAAATGAAGATGGCTCCAGATCACGGTTTCGATGCTACTCGACGCAATCCCGGCCTCCTTCAACACGTCGAAGATGTCTTTGTCCATTGCCGCTGGCGAAAACTGGCCATTGGTGAATAGCGTTGCCAGGCTTGGGGCAAGATTGAGCGGGTCTTTCCTGATGCCCGCATCGAAGAGCAGCTTGCGCGAGCCGTGTTGAACGAGGAAGGAATATATCGGAAGCGTGAGGGTATCGCGGCCGGGGAGAATGGGCTGAACGAGCGTGTGCAACTCCTTGACTGCGGTGAGGTTGGCGGTTATAAACCGCGAAATCGACACGGTTGCGTTGGAGGGCGGAATGTCCAAGGTCGGTCGATGAGGAGTAGCATATGCATGCAAAAGGCAGAGCGCAAGAGAGGAAAAAGACAGTGCCGGTGAATGCATCCTTAGTTGTTGGGTGCTAGTACTATTCTACACTAACAGTACTCTTTATACCACTGCCTGAATAATGATTCGCCAAAAGTAGTACTAAGCATCCGTATTCTAGTATTTGCCGCTTTCAAAGTGCTTGGTATGGCGGCAGATCCTTCTGGGCGCCGAACCTGATGATGACCAAGCGCATGAGTCTAGCACGCTCTTGTTACAAATCCAATGAATGGTCCATTCCTCATCGGAGCAGTTGCTGATTTCCATCGCACTCGGCTCGACACATAGGACTACTTAGGGGTCGTTCGGTAACAAGAAACCAGCGCGGTTTCTCGACAGAAACCAGTTTCTCAGCAGAAACTATTTAGTATACAACAGAGACTAGCTACTTTCCAATGAATGGTCCATTATCGGAGCCGTTGCTGATTTCCATCGCACTCGGCTCAACACATAGGACTACTGAGAAACTGGTTTCTGTCGAGAAACCGCGCTGGTTTCTCGCGCTGGTTTCTCGTTACCGAACGAGCCCTTTCATAGTATACAACAGAGACAAGATACTTTTCGAGTCCACAAAATGTAGTATTAAGACTATATTTGTGGACTCACAAGTCATTGATTGCGACTTTAACAAACAGGGAGGAAAAGAGAAACTGCGAAAGCTGCGCGTCATGCAGCGGCAGATGCCGATATCCAGCTGGCAAACACGCCAGCGACACACAATACACGCCGAGCGGCACCTCCTCTTCTGAAGACCCGTCCTGTCGAACAGCGATGCGCACGAAAACCAAATCCAGCATGTCCCCCACGCAGGTGAATGGTATCATCAGTTTCTCTTCCCACACAGGATTGAAGCCGTTATTCTTGACGGTGCAAGTGCGACGGACGGGCATAACCGCACTGGTTGGTGGCTGGAGTAGAAGGGACTGTGCAGCGAAACCAGTCGACTCTGGAAAGTACAGCGATACCTCGACGTATGGGTCGAGGGTGTTGCGGTTCTGAAGTGAGGGAAGTTGCTGGGCGGAGATGACGGTCAGCTCGAGGACATGCTGCGATGTCTTCGATAAGAGTTGCTTATGGTTGGGTAAACGAAGCGCCGGGGGCTTCAAGACATAACCGACCCCTCCGTTTCGCTGAAACATGGCATAGTTGATCAGCCAGCCCACATCTGTCGTCTGCCAGTTCATCGCCAGCAATTGCAAGCCCATACTCCAGGAGTTATGAGGCAGAAAGTTGGAGGAGGCAACTCGACTGCCTTTTGGATACCCTCGGACTAAATGCGTGCGGGTATGCTTGACAAGATCGAGCGCCATCCCAGCAGGAGAGCGCAGGATTTTGTTGGCCATGGTCTCAGAGAGTGAGAACATATGCTCTGGCGCGTAGTCCTCCTTTTTGTTGATGCCTCTGTACTTGACCCCAACAGTATAGACTAGGAGTGATAAGAGTGCCGGGGAAATCTTGGGTTTGGTACTGTTGTCCGATCCAGCAGAAGACGACGACCTTGAAACAGGTGGAAGGGGGAGATAAGCAGACGGAGGCGAAGACTCCGATTGCGAACTCCCTCTACTCCTTCGACGAACATGTTTGATAACTCGCAGGAGAGAGCTGTCGCGACCTACTGGTATATTAAGCAGGTACTGACAAAAGTAAAGAACTAACCAGCTTCCGAGTCGTCTCCAGTCGAATACGATGAGGTATGAGAAGCGGGTTCCGATACCCCAGAATTAGTCTCTTCATGACCGATGTGCACGTTTTTCGCTTTCACGAGAATTTTGAAACGCAGGTCCTCCGGACTAGGCAACTGCCCGACAGCGATTCGTTCCCCAAGCGGCATCCTAATTAGCTTGTCCCCGAAGACCTCACTCATAGTATCCACAATCATATCCTGCTGGACGACGGAGCAATGAATCTCAGCCGATATAATGAGCGGGTATGGCGAAGCAACAAAGGCGTATTTGTCGATGGCCTCGCAAACTGCACGGAGGGATAGCTTGCTGGTTAGCGTATTTCCGTGGGTGACGATCGGAGCGGGTGTCCCTGGATGTATGTCGACTAGAGGGACATGTAAGCCAAGGGTGAAGAGGAGGTTGAGACTCGTACTTTCGACAGACCGGCAGCCTGCTTGCAAAGCCCTGATGTAACCCTCGACTGTACTTTCTCCGACAAGTTGATGGCCAGAGAGGTAGGTGTTGTGTGAGCAGGATATGTAATACTCCGAAAGCGGACGGGTCATATCTTGCGAAGCTTCGTTGAACGAAGGAACGGAAGGGGACATTAGACTGGGACGTCGTTTATGGGAAAGAATGGTCGAGGAATGTTCTTGGAAAGCAGGGTTGTCTCCCGAGATAAGAAAGGCTGTGAATGATTCAAGAGGCATAATGGCTGGAGTCGAGCTCGTAGAGACGGTGTCCACATAAGAATAGAAGATTGCTTGCAGCTGAGAGGTTCCAAGAGTCGACTACTAATTCATAAGAGAAGATGATACAATGTGAGGATAGACGCTTACACATTGGACATCGACCATAAAGGCCCGAAAAGCATCGAAATCGAAGCAGTGGTTGTGCTTCTTTGTCAGTCGGTTGTAGATACGCTCAACCTCCGGACGGGCTCTGAGCATTCTCGCGAAACTCCGGAATTCATCGAGGTCGAGGCAGCCATCATTACGCAGATTAGCTTCCTAGATGCAAGTGAATTCGGCGGAAGAAATGTTTGGAATGAATTGTACCTTGAAAAGGGACTGTAATGTAGCATCGTCTTGACCGACGTTCATCCGACGACAAAGCCTCCGGATATCGTCAAAAACCATACCACAGCCGTTCCAATAATGTCGCTCCCAAGCTGCCTCGAGACGTTCTCCGTCATTCAGACTATCAATGAGTTCTGAACGGATGGCGTAAAGCTTATACAAAGCCTGAACGAAGGAGTCCATAAGTTCCTTCGATGGTGCGACCAGATGCAGGGTTTTGTACGTGGCCTGAACAACATAGACAACGGTCAGCCATCTTTCTTCATAGTCTTCAAGCGGTGGCTGGAGCAGGTGGGCGCGGTAGTTCTGGGCTTCTGGTCCAGTACGCATTTCCCGGATGGCATCGACGGGGACTGGATGAGAAACATAAGCAAATGAAACCAACACAGGGAACGCTACGCACTGCATTTCTTAACTTTCGACTCCCAAATGAGCTGCCCGCGCTCACGGTCGAGGCGGAAAAGAAGTTTACGCTGTCGCTTAGTTGATATCTTGGTTAGGTATATGCCATCTTGCAACACTTTAAATTGGGGAACGGTCTCTTCCGCGCTCGATGTTGAACTTCGAGGAGTCTCTTCGCTCGGTTGACGCGACATTGAACGCGAGAATCGTCTTCGAATGGTGGCACGGATACCCGGGCTTGCAGTGGGGGTGAGCAACCTGGTTGCTTTCCGTAACATGGGGAGAGTGGTGGGGAGCGACATTGACAGCGGGGTTATCAGGTTTAAAAGCGGGTTTGTGGGGTAGTTGATGGTATAAGATGCTTGTTAGAAGTTGTGAATGTGTGTCTGACTCGGCGTTCATCTGAGGCCAAGTCATCGTCCGCAGTTCCTATGGAATGGACTATCAAACTCACCAGAACTACGCCCAGAAGATGAATCGTTGCAAGATCCCGATGTTGCACTTCCATTATGCGTTCTAGAGCGCTAAGGGAGCACCGTTGGAAATCCAGTGCAGCAGAAATCCTGGAAGAAGACACGTTCCAGCCCGGCCAAAAGCTGTGAACCAGGTGTTGCGATGGAGACGTAAACACAAGGTTACGGCCCCGCTATTGTTGAATCTTGAGCGGGAGTCAGACTGCACCGATAGATGTATCTTACTGGTCGCGTACGTGGGAGGGAAAAAATGAGTCGGTGGCGTCACGGCACGTGCGTCCACGTGCGTCACAGACGTGACACCGTAGATAAGTATAAGTAAGTTAAGGATATAAGTAAGGAAGTAGGTTGACTGCCGCGGCGGCGCACAATCAATTGACCCAGAGCTATTACAGCTACTTAATCTACCTTTAATCAGGCTGAACTCTTGGACACGATAACTGGGACACTAGGGCTTGGTTTTTAAAGATTTTGAAGGTTATCAAACAGTTGGATAAAAATGGCCTCTGAAACCCTGTTTATAAACCGGTTTTTAGGTTTTATAAACCAACTGAGCTGATATGACCAGAGCGACCAATTTTTTTTTTTTTTGGAAATTTCTGATATAAATTTTGGCCTTTTGACTTGATGTCTGAAAGTTTCATAGGCTGTAGGGGGTTTGAGAGAGAGCTAGAGCCCATCAAGTCTCACTTGTAAGTTAGTATAATATGTTTAAGTTATATATACCAGATGCAATTTACTTGAAGGTATTAGAAGATTTAAGATAAACCCCTTATCAGGAATCCTCTATATGACCTAAAAATCATAATGACAGCAATACTTAATAAGAAATGTGCATAGTTAGTACTTATAGTCACAACCCAGCCCTCAGTACTAGTACTAATCATAGCTACTAGTACTAATCATAGCTAATGTCAGCCAAAGTAGGTAAAGATTCTACTTGATAAGAGACTAGATGTTATAATAGACCTATAAGATATGGTCAAGCCTACTAGTAGTATATAAAAGCAATATTAGTGTGAAGTAAGTCTAGTTTACCAGCTTCTTTCCTTTTTGGGTGCTTATTAATATAAAACCATAAAACAGGGTGTTTCCAGCCAGGCTGTTTATAAACATATAAAACAGGGGTGTTTGTAAACCGGTTTATAAACACCCCTATATAAACCAAGCCCTATGGGACACTGAAGACTATTGACACTGTGACTATCAGATACCACTTTTGCACGCCATTAGCACAATCTCTTAATGTAAGGGCAACCCTAGAGGCCTGAGATCAAGGTCTAGCAGGGGAGGATCCAAAGAGAAGAAACTCTGAGGGTCCGCCTGCTAGGTAGCTGACTATATACTGCTTGTCTGTAGCTGCCGCTGTCGGGCACAGAAGGCTTAGGCAGCAACACAGGCAAGGTCCCAGGGCGACCGTCGGGAGGGCGTTGACGGATCGGTGATTGTGCGGGCAAGATGGAGGGCCAGACCGGAGTCGGAACCGGAATCGGAATCGTCTCCAAGGGGCCGAAAGGGAGGTTCCCCTGACACTTAAATTGATTGTGAATCTCTGTCAGGGGAACCCCCCTTTCGGCCCTTTCGGCCCCTCGGAGACGCGTCCGACTCCAGTCCGATTCCGGTTCCGGTTCCGGTTCCGACTCCAGTCCGGCCCTCCATCTTGCCCTGCCTGACAGCGGCAGCTACGGACAAGCAGTATATAGTCAGCTCCCTAGCAGGCGGCCATTAGAGTTTCTTCTCTTTAGATCCTCCCCTGCTAGGTCAGCTCCATTTGTATTTGCTTCACCAATGTTCACACTTTGGATCCTCTCCTGCTAGCTAGGACCTTGATCTCAGGCCTCCGGGGTTGCCCTTACAGGGTAATCATTTTTGGCAGCAACTTTCGTATAAATAAATTCTGTTTTTATGGGAAACCCCAATGTGACTAGGTAAGTAGTGCCCTCAGGTCTTTAAAAGCATTTCCACAGGACACCTATTGGCCAACAATTGTTGATGCCTGATTGTGCAGATACATATAATTTCATTGCAAACTTAGGCACATATATTTATCATTCTTATTCCCACCACCCCTGGCCCATGCCTCTGTGGGTGTGGGAAAATAATTAAAGTGTAATAAAATGATGGCAAGTCTTGTAGCCCACAACTTGACATTCTGAGCAGAGACCCATGTGAATGTGCAATGCCTGTGGGTATATTACACCAGGGTTTCAGCCAAAAAATAGTCCCCTAAGCAGAATTTATATATAAGAAATACTGATCCAAAACAAAAACAATAACCTTTTTTTTGCTGCTTTGATTAATATGTAATATGTCACGGTTCGGGTCGGGCCGTCCGGGCCATAAGGCCGCACGGGCCCGTATACCGCCGTCCTCCTGGACGCCCCCTCATTCTTCCAACCCCTTCCGTTCACCCCTACGGCCCTACGCAGCGCCCATCCGATCCGCCCTGGGACCTGGCGCCCATCCGATCCATCCCTAATACCGTAGCGTATAAAAGTCGTACTTACAAGATGTAGTCGCTAGGCTAATATCGTCTATTCTCCGGGCGAATACCCATCTCTCGTGCTCCTCAGACCTCTTTGAAGTCGGACCCCCCAACGCCCCGATACGGCCCGAGCCCGACGCTGACAGAATATTAGCCTCCCCCACGAACGCAAGAAACGCGACAAATGTCTACCGAGCACGACAGTACGATGGGCACCCCCAAGCCAGGGGGACGAACGTGCCCGATTCATGGCCCTGGGCCATAACGAACAACAGGAGTTCCTGTTCGCCCATCTGTTCCGAACGAGTCAGGAGATGGAGCAACTCAAGGCGGAAAACACCGCCCTGACGAATTGACAAGTGGTCCTCGAGGCCAAGCTGTCCCGAGTAAACGGGGAATACGCAGCTGTACAGCAGGGAGTCATGCAGAGCTATGATCTGCTCCGCCAAGCCAGAGAGGACTTGGCTCATCGGCCCCACGGGGGAAATACACAAGTAACCGTCTCTCCCCCTAAGGAGTTCACGGGCGACGCCAGCGAAGTAGACGCCTTCCTGGCCGATTGTTGGTTGGCCTTGAAGCCAACCCGAATGTTTACAACGACGAGGTGCGAAAGATTTCGTCACGCACTCTCCTATATCAAAGGCGGGAACGCGGTCACGTGGAAGGAAAACGTCTCCCAAGCCATGAAGCTCCGCACCGCCGCAGCCTATACTACGTCACGAAGGCTTCGAGAAAGCCTTCATCGCGGCCTTCCGGGGAAGCTCACGCCGAAATCGCGCAGCAGAAGATGGAAACCTTCGTCCAGACCAAAGACATGGATGCGACTAGTTATTTCACGGTCCTCGACTCTCTCAACAAAGTCGCGCACTACGACGACGTTAACCTTATTGCGTCGCCAAGAACTGTATGCTCCGGGGCGTTGAACGCGGTCTACCGAAAGGACACGCTCCCCGACACCTACGAGGCCTGGAAGGCAGAGGCCATCAAGCAAGACGGCGCACTCCGCCGCTACCGCATTTTCGATGAAAGCCACAAGGTTAACCACCCTCGGGCCAAAACGCCCCGACGGCGCCCGCCCCGCCAAGAGCGGGCTCAGAAACCGCAACCCGTTCAACGGGTGGGCCCGAAACGCAGCGATCAGCGCCACCCCGGACCGACCGTGGCCGCACCCGAGGAAACGGGGCAACCACGGTCGCCGGACCCTCGACGGGGCCCGCGCCTATGGAGATCGACCGGGCCCAGGCCCCTGCTACGGCCCGCAGCACTCGCTGCTACAACTGCGGCCAGGAAGGACACATCAGTCGGATGTGCCCGAACCGGGCCGCATCGGCAAACCAGATCCGGGCTATCTCTCCGAGTTTGTCAAAGATAACGCGGATAAAGCGGATTTTGGCGATCGTCGCGAGTGAAGCCTACGCCCTCGCCGACGTATACCACAAGTGTCTCTAGTTACAACCCGCATAATCGATATTCCGTGTTGCCAATCCAGAGATACGTGGGACCAGACGTAGAAACCAACCCCGAACAACGAACCCCGCAACCCACCGTTTCCCCCGCAAAAAAACCCGCATAAAACCATACGAGACACTCCAAGGCCCGCTTGGAAAAGTTGGCCCGCGGCCAGCGCCGAGAGGCTTGTCGCGCAAATTCGAGACCAGCCCGAGAAGGCTCGTGCGAAACTACAACAGTGGATACATCTGGCCCGACGAGCCGAGAACGGGCCCGAACTAGAAGAGTTCATACGAACGGGGTACGCCCCCGACATAGCCGAAGCTTTGCGACAACTGCAAAATGCTCCCCCCTTTCGGAAAAGTGAGGGCACCACGGCTACGGGTAGCCGTCACCCTCCAAGGGGTCAACGACCTCCCGGGTACTCGGTTGACGCCCTCCTCGACAGTGGCGCCACCTCCGAGTTCATGCACAAACGGTTCGCGGAGGACTCGCAACTGGAACTCGAAGCCCTACCGCACCCAGTCCCAGTGTACAACGCTGACGGGACGATCAACGCCGACGGGGCGATCACCCACGTTACCCGCTTACGAGTCACCATTCAGGATCACTCCGAACTGCTGACATTCGCCATCACGGACACCGGGAATAGCGACGTGATCATCGGGCATCACTGGCTCAAGAAGCACAATCCCGTGATCGACTGGCGTGAAGGGGCGATCGCCTTCACCCGATGCCCGCCCGAGTGCAAGCGGGCCCGATTGCTGGAACAATGGGGACGAAGAGGACAACGAACCCCTGGGCAAAGGGGATCGCCTCTTCGTCACGCGGATCTACGACGAAGGTTCGAACGCGCCCGCCCACATCCGGGCCATGCAGAGCATGGCCACCAAAC